AGGTCTTAGTTAGGGACCAATTGATTTGTCTCGGAAATGTCTTATTTATGAACAAATAAGTATAGAAAAAAATTAACGTGGCACAGCCTTACAGTTATAAATATTTAATAATTTAAACATAATGTAATTATAAACGAAAAATAAACAATTACCTACACGCTGGGAATTATTTCATTCGATGGTAAGTATCAAAACGAAAATTATGTGAAAAAAATACTAGCATATATTAGCTTTTTAAAAATACGAGTAATTTTTTTGTATTTTATGTAACGTTTTATGTAACGTAAAGGAATTGTTGGTTGTATATTTAAACCAACGACCTTTATGCCAGAATTAACGTTATATATTTACTTTTGTATGTTTAGTTAGTACTTCAATCATATCTATGTGAACAAAAGAAGATCTATTATTATTAATAGCAATCATTATTAGGCGTATGTGAGTTGAACAGAATGGAATTCGTTCGAAATATTCAACGAGCTATTATATTAGATTTCCATGAATAAAAAATGTCTTCAGTGCGATTTCAAAGAAAAGGCCATTCTTCCTTTTGTAGCAAAGATAATTTTTTATGATTAACTGAATTAAAATTCTGTTCGTTTTGATAATTTTAAGAAATATTAAAATAGTTGAAATTTATGAACAATTTTGTTTCAATGGTCTAATGTGTATGGATTAAAAAACATTATATCATTAAGTTGTTTTTCTTATTCGTAACTTAAAATTGATTTAGTAATTATTTTAAATTATAGTTACTCTTTCAGTATAATGTTTTATCTTAATTTTTAAAGTTTGAAATTGGTTCTCAAATCTCCAATTTTATAAGTGTTTAAGTTCTTAAATTGTTTGGGAATTTAAAAACTTCCCTCTATCCTCTCCTCAAACAAAATTTGAAAAATGGAAATAATTAAAAAATAAAATAAATAAAAGAATAATATAAATACAACCACAGCTTAAACCTATGACATTTTTCTGATAATAATTTTCTGAGTGTGATAAGGTAAAAAAATCATAAAACACTATAAACAATACTAACGATTTAAAATAAGGATACTACAGCAACGGAGATCGTCGATTTATTTAAGAAATAATATTTTATTTATAAAAATAATATGTTTTAACCCTCAGTTCCGTATTATGTAATTATTATAAAACTAGATATTTAAACATTTTTTAAGTCAGTGTTTATTTCAATCTTTCTAATCTTCAACATTTTCGGACAACAATGTGGACTTCAATTATTAGATTAATTTTTATTCCGGTTTTCTCAAAATTTAAAACACAATATTACAAAACACAAAAATCTATCGATTTACTTTTGGCTTCATTCGATTTAGAATAAGAAAATACATTTGGAATTGCCTCTATTTTAGCTTTGAAGGTGTGTGTCTTTGGTGGGTGAAGTTTTTTTTCCCGAAAATAAGGTGTTTTACACCACTGTACGAAGCTGATCGATTTCTGTTTTAGTCAAATTACACTAAAAAAAATTTTGAAACGTTCAAATTTGATCAGATATTTGTAAATACCTACAAATAACATAATCTCTTATGTTAAAAAATATATTTAAAAAAACAGATTGTTTATGAAAAATCTAATGCTGATTGAAATGATATTTGACCATCTTATATCTTAAAGTATTAGTGTTTTTACTAATTATTTGCGGTTTTACGATTTCCTCTCTCATAAAGAAAGGATTAAATCAGAGATAATCACTGTCTCCGATTCTCTTCAACATTTATGCAGAAAGAGCTCTAAGAGAATGAAAGAAAAAATGAGAGGTATGGGAATAAAGATTGGAAATGATTGTCTTTTCACTTTGCAGTTTTCTGACGACCAGATGCTCATTGCATCAGAAGCAGAAGGTGTAAAATGTAGGTTGAGAAAAATTCTGCAAGAATACTCAAACTGAGGGCTGGAAGTCAGCAAAAAAAACAACAAAAAAACGGTATATAAGGCTCTTTAATAACCAAACTGAATATGTTCAAATGGACAATAGGAGGTTAGAACCTGAAACTCAATTTAAGTACCTAGGAAGCTGGGTGAATATGACAGGAACATCTCTCATGGACATTGTAAAGAGCTTAAGCAATTGGAAAATAATCATCGGGGCCTTAAATTCGATTCTGTGGAGTAAATCAGTGTCCTTAAAAACAAACAAAAAATCTTTGTTGTGGAAACAAAAACTTCTAAGTGTAAAAGAAATAGTTTATTTGCTATAATTCATGCCAAGTTGGCGTTTCGGGAAATTATTCACATGAATGAATCTTCTTATTCGGCTTTACGACCCACTAGTTGAGTCCTAGCCTGCTCAAGCTTAGACCGCCAGTCCTCCCTGTTCCGTGCTGCGGCCTTCCAGTTCATAACAATTAAAATGAATGTATGTTAAAATATTTGTCAATGTAATGTTGTTACATAATTTGCTATATGTACCTAAAACCTTGCTTCCCAACAAAAAAGATGAAAATACGAAAACCAAATCGTAGACAATTAAGGGAGCGTCAATCAAAAAGATTGCTAGCCCTAGAAATGGACTATTGGAGACGATCATGTGTTGCCTCCCATCTTCAAAAAGTTCCAAACAGTAAAATAAGGAAACGAATGGAACAAATGGAGAACATCATCCATACCATTGGAACTATGAGGCTCAAGTAGTATGCACATGTGATTAGGATGGAAGAGGAATGATGGCCTAAGAATTGGAAACTGAAAAGGAGGAAGAAAGGTCACTCAAGAAGAACCTGGTATGAGGGAGTTAAGCAAAAAATGCAAGGAAGCAAGGAAGATTGGCATAGTAGAAGAAGATGGCAAAGATTTATTTTTGGTGCCGACATTTGAATAATCTTGTAAAAGTCTTTAAATAAAAAATAATTGCTTTGAATTGTGAGTTAATTCACAAATTCGTAATGCTTCATAGTGCATCGTAGAATACTATTATACAATCAAATAATTCTACTAAATCATATTTTACTTTTTTTTAAACCGAATTTCGATCATTATTTTCTTTTTTAATATATATTTTGAATTTCTCGAAACTTCACTCCTAATGAACTATTTTCATTATTAAAAAAGTGTATGCTTAGTAATTGTTAAACAAGGTAGAAAAAGATTTATACTTGAGCAAAATAAAGTATGAAAAAAAAAAATTATATTTTTTATTATATTATATAATTTGTGCCAAATGATGTTATTAAAAATAGTTATAGAATGTATAAGTTCCATATTTTTTCACTGAGTCCCTTATGTGATATTGAAAACAAAAGCAAACAGAAAATGAATTTGGGCCGTTCTTGAAAACTCATATTTAAAAAAAGACGAGATTTTCAAAATTGAAATTTCTTCAACAATTAGTACAGCGGTAGAACTATTCATGGGGAAAAATTGAGTTGAAATTATTTTATTTATTGCACTTTTAAGGCGCCAAAAGTTTTATGTTAATTTTATTTTATAGTTCCAAATTCATTTCTTCACTTTCCTTACTATTCAGGGAATGTATTGTGAGCAGAAAATATTTAGAACAAAACATCATCATGATTATAGTTTTTCTTTTGATATCACCAAAAATATCTGAGTTAGAACCAGGTAGGGTACGTTGATACCGACTCTCACTAGGTGCAATTTTTGTTGCATTACAACCAATAAAACCAGTTGAGTCTGAGTGACCAAACTAGTGTCATACATTTCTATTATAAATAGATATAAATAAAATTAAATAATTTTTCACATAGTCCCTTTTATGATATTCAAGAAAATTGCCGGAAACGATTGTTATTCATGTTCGAAAACACATTTTTCAAAAAAGACAAGGTTTTTAAGGTGGAAATTTCTTCAGCATGTACTGACAGAGAAGAAAAAAAAAATCAAAGATGAATCTATATTCATCCTCACACTTTCAAGTGTCAAAAATCTCGTTCCATGTCAATTCTTTTGATTTTTTACACCAGTTGTCTTTCTTCTTAGGTATCAATGCACAAAAATTGTAGAAAAAATCTCATCATTATTTCAGTTTTTTTTTTTTTTTTTGTTTGTTTAATATCTACGAAATTACCAGAGCTACCGGAATTTTCCCAAAGTATGCTTTCATTCGAAAAGATAATTTAAAATGGTCCCACAGGCATAAAGTGAGAGCCTTAAACTAATTAATTAACTATGGCTTTGAACTCTTCATCAAATAGGGAATAGCTGGTAAAAGATTTATAAAAATCAAAAATGTGGAGCAACAAAATAAATTCAAATTGGACGATTCAAATGGATCGACCCTGTATTAATTTTATAACGTAGAGTTTGTTCCAATGTGTTTCTATTCTGCAACAACTAATATTTACTCCTATTATTACCCGATGTAGTGATAAATTTGTTGTTAAATTAATGACCAGTATTCTTTTGTAAGTAGGTAAAAATATTAGGTACATATGTATATGTATATATACTAAATTTTAATGTAACATTAGAACAATTTTCAAAATTAAATAACAAAAAAAAAATACTACGGTTGGTATAGACCGTTTGTTGTTGCCTGCCTACGTTATGCTCCTACATATGCCGAAGTTCTGAAAAGAGAATCTCAAAGCAGACGAAATATCCTTTGTTGTTAAATTAATGACAAGTATTCTTTATATTTTGTAGGTAGGTATAAATATTAGGTACATATGTATATTTATATATACTAAATTTTAATGTAACGTTATAAGAATTTTCAAAATTAAGTAACGTAAATTTAAAAAAAGCACTACGGTTTATACCCTTGTTGCCTGCCTACATTATGCTCTTACATATGCCGATGTTCTGAAAAGAGAATCTCAAAGCAGACTAAATATCCTTTATGATTTTTTTTTTTTTAATTTGGAGCTATTTTACATCATTGTACACCGAAAAAAACATTTGAATTATTAAAACCGATTGCCGCTAATAAACAAGAAGGGGTACGTCGGCGGTGGCGCTACCAAGCGACAAGCAGTTAAACTGAAGCTGTATATAACCGCCCGACAAGGACCCGGTTCAAAGCCAGAGATGTCAGCGTAGTGATCAGCCCTCACATCAGGCTCAAGAGGGCATCCCAGAACACATTCCGTCAGTCCGTGTCTCCAGAGAGTACGTCCGACAAGACAACGTCATGCCGCAGCAACAGGCCACAGGGAAATGGAAGGAGACCTTTGCCAAAGGTAGGAATTAACCTAGTTAATTTAAATTTAATAATCTTCCCTATTCCAACCAGAGGATCCGAATCTTAAAAAAAAAACTCGTTGTGTTAGACAGTGATCGATAAACGTTAGTCTGATATATCTTGAATGCTACTACCTTATTCATTAACAATCCAGGAAAGTATTGAAATGGAACGCAACAATTAACGTCCTGACGGAGAAAGTGGAATCAGACTACAATTAACCAAATCCAAAAATTTCACGATGATGATACGTCTGCCATATGTTTTTTATTTAATCAATAAACATTCGAAAATTATCCTCGCGAAAAACTGCCAATTTGTCTTGCAATAACAATCGATTCGTAATACATATATTCTGAATTATTGAAGTCATAACAAAACATCTGCTTGATTATGGAAATTGTAAAAGTTATTCAGCATAAGATATCCGTTTTAAAAATAAATTATAATTTTGGAATTCGAATAAGCTTTTTATCATGCGACTTTTCTTATTACCTTTATTTCCATAAGTTCTCCTTAACGTTTAAAATTAACATGTTCTTTTTTGTTAATGGAATTTTAGTTGAAATAAAGTAAATATGTGAACTTATATATGGAATACAATTGTCGAAAATGTAAATTTATATTGTCAAGAATTAAAAAAAAATATCTAGTTATCTAATGAACTCGAAATCTAATTTAAAAAAGGTATTTCTGTTTTATGAATTTCTTTCCGATGATTTAAAAAAAAAAATCTAAAGTAATAATAATGTATAGAAATGCATTGAATTTTTTTTATTAATGATGGGTAAATTGAAGTAAATGGCTGCTGCAGAGGAAGTGGCAGAACTCATTGCCAGTGTTGTCAATAAAAAAAAATTAAAAAAGGAAGTTCATTGCGTAACTTAAAATAAATAACTAATTGTTAATTACTTCAAATAGGATCTAAAATATAATTTATTTAAGAAAAATTATACTGTATTTTTCTTAGTATTTTATCTAACGATGTTGACAAATCTATGAATGCACCAGTCTGATTTCAAGATGGCTCCCAAACGTACTAAGTTATGCATACAATTATTAATATAAGGAATGTAAATGGTAATATCCATTGGCATAAAGATATAATTTTTTTCAAAGAAACGTATCTGAGACTATCTTATCTACCAGATGCTTTGTAACTATTGTTAACTAAACCCGTAGTCAGATATGATATTTTTGCATTATACTTTTGTATTGAGGCCCATGTTTATCTTAACTGACAATTTTGGAATTCTCAAAAACGATAATTTGTTATCGATGATCTTTTTTTTTTTTTTTTATACTCAAATATGTATATTTTAATATTAAAACAATTATTTAGCAACTTAATTGAAAAAAGAAAATGAATACGAATTATAGTCTTATTTTTAATAATTAGTTGATAAAGCAAGTGTAGCGTAATATAAAAAAAAAACAGTTCTTGAGAAATTTTCAAAACTAATTAACTGCTCCTAGCGTAAACAATAATCTTTACAAAACTAATTCAGTGACAAAATAAAAATATATTGTTTCTTAAATTATACTTGCAAACTTTAACTAACTTGGTTGGTTTGAACCGTCAATTCGTTGGTAGCAAAAGTACTAAAAAGAAGGTAAGGGTATCGGATTTACGAAATTCCATTTTTCTTTTCGTACCCTATTGTTTTATTTACAAAATATTTAAAAATGTAACATCTAAAAAAAAAGTTACAATTATTTCTTTTATTTTTTTTTTTTTTATGAATTCAGAAAGTTATATTAAAAATTCTAATATTAATGTCACAGTGAAATTAAAACATTTCGACAAAAAACTAATAAAATTGCATTAACATCACTATAAAATATAACTCTAGTATTGTAGTTTGATTTAAAAAAAAAAACCTATAATGTGGATTTAATTTCCCATAATAGGAAATTATTTTTCCAAAAATATGAAAATAAAATCAATATTAAGAGCTAATACTTTTTACCTATTTACTCTTTGTAAATTCGTTAATAAAAACGTGGACGGATATCTGTTTACATAAATACTAGTTTCTTGAGCTCCAACGAACTCTTGTTTCAAACACTATTTATTCACCTTTCTACAAGATCAATTATGAGTAAGGGTTGACAAAGGTTGGTATAGTTACCATCCTGCAATTAATAAATTACGCAAAAAAAAAAATTCATGATACAGAATGTGTAGTACTAATAATAACTGTTGAGCAAAAAAGTTGTTTTAATACTAATGTAAACTTAATCAAGGTAATAAATCATCTAGAAATTACAATTTTAATTTCCATGTTTACATGTATATTAAATTGAAATTTCGAGCCTTGACCATTTATTTTTTAATTGCGTTGGAACTAGGTCGATATGCAGGAGAGTTTACATCAGAAATGAATTAAATGTCAAAGACGCAATTTTAAAAACACATTAAAAAAAGTAATATGGACTCCTTTTAAACTTTTTCTTTGTAAAATATTATGAATATATATTCATTAAATTCGAGAAATGCAACATAAGTTTTGATAATACGCAAAGAATCAAATTATATAAAATAATTGTATTAAAATTTCAAAAAATATTTATTTTTAATGTAATACAATTTAATAACTGAAATAATGACGAAAGGTTTAAATTGCTGATTTTTTTTTTTTTTTTTTTTTACTCTAAAATGTCATATTTCTGATTAATTGAAATTCATTATCATAAAGCATAGTTGAAAATTTTAAATGCATAAATTTTGAAATCCAATTAAAAACAATAATTAACTGTATGAGATAAGTAATTGCTAAGGTTATGTCGATGAATACAAAAACCAATTTTCTGTTTCCTGAACTGAATTATTAGTCTAAATTTTAATGATCGAAGTTTTCATTTTTTTTAAAAATAACGTTTCGAAAAGTTGAAAAAAAAGGATTAAATGAAATGAAAAAATTAAGAAATTAAACCTTTACTTTTATTTTTGAATACATTATAGGTAGTTCAAAATTTTACGTCAAATGTCTTTGTCAGCAAATCTGGTTTTTATTTGATCTGAGAATGAAGGATACCGAGTTATGTTTGACACCACTTCGAAAAAGTAACAAATATTGTAGAATAAAGAATTAATTTAAAAAAAAATCAAGTTCATCAAACCACGAAAATATTTTGTTAACATTTTTTCCCAGCGTTTCGCTTCTCGTGTAACTTTAAATTAAAGTTTTATCTTCACCAAGCAAGACTTTTTTGTCACTAAATCATCTAGTAGTGTCGATTCTTATGCAAAAAAAATTGACAATATTTTACTATTTATATTTTTTTTAGGTTACTCGTAGAAATATTATTTTTAGGAAGATTTTAACCTTAAAAAGTGACTAGTTCGATAAATAACTTAATTTTTGAAATTATAACTTTTACCTAATTGTTTGACATTTGGTAAGGTCAGAGCAAAGCTTATTCGCTAAATTTTTGTTGTCTTCATATTTTTATCCACACCTATCATAATCTTGACAATTTCGCAGATATGTTGTTATTGTTAAAATAATTAGCATTTTAGGCATGAGGAAGAATAGTACCAGGCAGAATCTCTTTCTTGGTCTTGGTTTACTTCCTTAATTCAGGAAAGATCTCTCATCCAGCTCCTCTTCAGTCATCACCTGTAGCCAGGTCGTTTATAAGTCCCTGTAGTTTAAGATGAAATTGGGAGTAGAGAGTACGTATGTGTTGGTCGATAGTTGGTTTTTGTAAGTCGGTATATAAAGTTTTTTTGTTTACGTACTAGGGAGGTGCACTTATTAGTCATAAAATTTTGGGTTGAATTGATTGTAGTTTTCGTAAGTACTTCTTTTTTTAAAAACCGTAAATTTGTGAGGCGTTTGTCCATATGGGTTTGAGTTGGTTAGTGTATGTATTTTTGTCTGATTTTCAATTTGGATTTGGAAAAAAGTGAGTATAGTGTACTCCATAATAGTGATTTTGATTTACATTTTCACATGGTAGATTTAATTTGTATTTAGTTTATAGCAATAATGAGGACATAAATTGAAAAGTAGACAAAATCTATATGTCTCGAAATTAACTTGATTTCTATGATAATCATTGATTTATACATAAAATATATTAAAAATTGCTTCATTTCGTATTAAGTGATGGTGATTCTTAGAATGGTAGAGTTAAAACCTATGAGGAAAGAAATAACTGACGGGGAAAACTGGAATCATTGATTAGCACAGAAAGATTGATCAGACACATATTGGGTCATTCGTACCAATTATTCTTTCTAATGACACATCCTTATTATCAAAACAATTGGATTAAATCTATCTTCTTATTTTTGTTTTTTAATATTTGAATCGTTGCAAAAACAAATATCAATTAACTTAGAGCTATGTTTACAAATACAATTTTACTTACCTTCGGAAATTAAAAGTCCAGTTATTTAAAATTGTAGGTAACTTAACCAAATTTATGTACGTATTTCAAGAAATATGATTACAACATTATGACATTTTATTTTAAAATAATGAGGAATCCCATGAATTTACGAGTTGAGACATTATTAAGCCAACAAGTCATAGTTGAAATAGATTTCGTAAAGTTCAATACCAAGAAGTTCCTTAGACTAGTTCCTTAGACTTAACTCGATCCTGTATAAATGAACATAGGACTAGTCTTGCGTTACGCCACTAGAAAATTATGATTAAACGACTTAAGAGGGATTCTTTTAGTACACACAAGGAACTTTTTGTGATTGAAAAAACATCCAATTTAGGTATTAGTGAACTTGATTTAATGAAAGTGTAACACTTAAATCAGTTTTGAAAAATTCAGGATTTTATATGATAGAAGGCTTGAAAATGATATTCCAAACTAAGTTCAGCTTTGGATTTTGATGAATGAGGTATCAATGAAAGAGTATTACATGAAGCAGTGACGAATCATAATAACATCCCCACGAAATGTCAGGGGAAAAAGTTATGAATGAAAAGAAGCTTTATTGCCGAATAACTCAACAAGTATATATATTTTTCT